CTGGTTTTTGTGTTTCTCTAGAGAACCCTATCCAACACAGCAGAATTCTGCTCTAAGCATAAAGAAAGAATAAAGAATAAATGCTAATTACAGTGCAACCTCAGTTAAATGAAAATAAACTATAAACCTTTGGCTAACCACAATCTTCCTTCTTTTATTTTTATAATAAAGAGGAAAATGACAAAAAAAAAGTGATAATGTAAGGGTTTTTAAAACAATTTCTGGGAGTTTTCTTAAGAGTTGATCTTTTTCTGCATGTAAAATCAATTAATTGTCTCAAAAAACCAAAAAGACTGAAATGGATTAATATAAACTGAAGAAAACTAGGTAATAGATAGATTCGTCTTCAACAAGCTGTGTTAGAATTTGTATAACATTCAATATCTACAAAGTGCTTCAATGATTAATTTTATCAGCAGCCCTATCTTATAGCTAAGTAAAACTGAAGCACCAAATGATTAAGTGAATTGCTCAATATCAAAGGAAAAGTCGTAGCAAGTGGTCTTGATCAATCCTTAAGATACAATCATTTATTCATTAATATATTTAACCCATAGTTGAGTGCCTACTATGATGGGTGGTGGTGATAAAAAGACAAAAATCTCTACTTTGAATAAGTTCACAGTCTAGTACGAAAACTGTCAAGTAAGCAAGTGATTATAATACAGTATGATAAATCCTTTTCATAGCAGTATGGTAGGTGCTCCAGGATAATCTGATTCCAGGGAAAGTTTCAAAGAGCAATAGCTACTCAGGCCAAGCCTTACAGGATGAATAGAGGTGACTAGGTAGACAAGCTCTGGTAGCATAGTGGCTAAAGCACTTGACTGCTAACCAGAAGGCTGGCGGTTCAAACCCACCAGCCACTCCTCAGAAGGAAGGTTGGGCAATCCTACTTCCGTAGTGATACTGCCTCGGAAACCCAAGGAGGGGTCGCTATGAGTCGGGGTCAACTTGACGGCACATAACAACAACAACAACAGGTAGACAAGAGGAGAAGAGCAGTGGATTCAGAATGAATTGAAGATTTATCATGAATAAAAGCATATGGCTAAAGGTGCAGATAAAGCTCTAGAAACAGCAAAGGGCCATTCTTAGAGTTCAGACCTTAGCTTCTAGGCAATGAAAAGTAAATGAAGGACTTCAAGCATGACAGTTCCAGTTATTAAAAGAAATCTGGTAACACTGTGGAAGATAGCTTAGGGGAAGCAGGATAAAACTAAAGGCATGAAAACCCACTGGGAAACTTTTCCAACAGTCTAAGCAACAACTAAGAGCCTAAATTAACATAGGAGAATGACCCAAATAGGAAGAACTATTTTTCCCTTATTCTTAAAGGTATTATCTATCAGCTAATGTTATAAACAGGTAGGTAATATTATAATAAGAGAGAATGCTGTTATTTGTGTATTTGTTTTAAAGTTGCACTGAAGGCAAAAGACATCATTTACATCGAAGCATCACAGGGATTTAATAATATAAGAAAATGTTCTAAAATACTGGAATAAATTTCAGTAGTAAGAATACATTTTTATAATCTCAGTTTTAAGATCAAGCAATTCTCTGTCAATTTATAGTAATAAATATTGAAGTAGTAGTAGAAAATTAGCATATAATGTACAAACTAGTAAAAAAAAAAAAAACGTATACAATTTAATGCACTGTTAAGAGTGTAAACCTCTGTAGTCTCATTAACCTCTTCATGCCTGGAGTAAAGTTCCTCAGTGCTTTTTACACTGATGAGAAACAAATTACCAATAATAAAGCTAACTGAAAAATCACCACTGAAATAAAGTTGAAGTAGTCAGTTATTTTAAGACATAGAAACAACAAGAATCTCAAGTAAGAACCAGAATTCAGCAGAATACATAACATAAACAATAAAACAGTGGTTATTGCTGCATTTCACCAAAATGCAGCAATATAACAACTTTACCTCATGCCAGTCTTCAAGTTTGTTGTCAGAAAGATCTAGTTCTGATACATGAGCACAGAAGGCAGCAATTTCTTTTTCATCTCCTGCACAGGTTATTCCACAGCTGTTCAGTACCAGTACACTCGGGAGGTTGAGGCGATCTGAATCATGGGGAAACAAGACATTTTCTATGTCAGCCTAATTCTTGTCTATATTTGTTTAGCTCCCAGGAATCATCAAGAAAGAAAACTCAAATTGTTCAAAATTCCAGAAGGATCTGAAAAAATTCAGGAAATAATGGGATTCTAGAGTAATGATTTATACAAGGAGACAGCCAAAGATGGCCCAGGGAAAATCAGGAGCACTGGACCAGTACCACTTCAAAGTTTTCCAGGGTTTAACTCCCAACAGGATTATTTATCACATTTACCAGCAACAGAGCAACTAGACTACATTATCATCTGAACATGAGACTCATACCAATTCATGTCTGGACTACCACTGCCTTCTTATTGGCCTCAGTTCTTTATTTTTAAAAATTTAGTTCAAAAGTATCACTTTGGATATCTCTTTTTTCTGTGATGCTTATCTTCACCTTTTGCTGTCTTTGAACATTATCACAGACCATTAGATAGTCTATATGCTAAATTACTTCTGTCCTTCAAGTTCTTATCATTCAAGAAATCTTCCCATTTCCATTTAAAAATCTACATCTTTTTTTCTCATACTTGTCCATCAATCATCCCCTATTTTGCATCCAAGTAGAATTTGTCCTGTATGAAGACCAGCTTCTATTTAAATATAATTATAATGAGAGAAAATGAAACTATTTCAGAGCCTTAAACTATTCACTGAATTTGGTCAAACTGAGGTAACAACTCACTGACTATTGCTTGGTTCCAAAACACATATGCCAATAAAATCATTCTTATTATCTCCAATAAAAAGGACAAATATGACAATTGTTTCCCATTTGGCATAATACAAGGAATTATAAAAGTAATATTTTATTAATGGAGGCTAAAAACTATGTTTTTTCAACTTATCAGTATCATACTTCTCAAAATGGGAATAGATCCTGAAAACCAAATCACCAAGAAAGCAGTCCACTTCTCCTAGACATTCTAGTTTATACAAAGAGGTAAGATATTTGTACTGAGAAATAAGAGAACTCAGTAACTTTCCAATATAGGAAATAAAACTTTTATTCCTTTGGCTCAACATAAACTATATGGTGTTACATCTTCATAAATATGAAGATCTTGTAATTGGTCTTTGACGGCACAGGTCAGCCTTGTACTGTTTTGCACCCTTCAAGTTCCTTGAAAGAACAGGCATTTAAAATACTATCACTATTATTTTTGTCTTATAAGAATACCTAAAATGCCCTTTGACCAATCTGGAGGAAAAACTGTTAGGTTCTTAAAAAAACTGAAATATCAACAAGAGGGAAAGACTATTCAACTCATCATTCAAACAAATCATTTGCAAACAAGGCAACATTATGATTTAACCCCTACTGTTAGTTTCCATCAAGTCAATTTTGAATCACAGTGGCTGCATGTATGTACAACAGAATTGCTCCATAGGGTTTTCAAGACTCTGACCTTTTGGAAGCAGATCACCAGGCCCGTATTCTATGGTGCCTCTCATGGGTTCAAACCATCAATCTTTCAGCTAGAAATGGAGTGCTTAACCATTTGTGCCACCCAAGTACTCCTGTTCCTTAAATAAGCTCCAGTAAATAAATGGTGTTGGTCTCATCTTTCTTACCTTTCATAGGGGAGCCCTGAGGTGTGGCTGGGACATGGACTCCCATCCCAGGACCACGGCGATAAGGAAAGTTCTCAGGACTGTATTTTTCACATAATACTTGCATAAAACTTCTCCCACTAGGTTGATCCATCTTTCGTTCCTAAAATTCTACAAGAAACCAAGAAATCATCAAAATTACTTACCTATTCATACAAGAAATATTTATTGGGAGCCAATTATTTACAAGACACTAAGCTGGGCTCGACTGCACATAACAACAACAGGCTGGGCATTGCAGACATGTAAGACATGGCCACTGCCACCAGGAACTTATACTATGGTGAGACCTTATGACTTAGGAAGCTAAATATGCAGACAAATGATAGCAATACAGTTTAGCACATGATAGTTGCAATATATATGAAAAGTGCTACAAACTTTAGAAGAAAAAGAGATCACTTCCAACCAAGAATAACAAGATGATTTTTGGCTGATGCATTGGGCTAATGTGGTAAACAAGAGGAATAAGGATTGAATAGGAGGTACAAAGTGAAGATATCAATCTAAATAGTTTGAAATCAATCTTCCGAACAAGTTACATACATTTAGAATATCTAAACAAACAAATAACATTAAAGTGATGTTTAATAAAGATTACAGTGGCAGATTTATATAGATGGACAGAACCTGGAGAGACTGTTGTTGCCCTTGAGTCGGACCCGACTCAGAGCAAACCTCCCTTGGGTTTCCGAGGTGATATCACTACAGAAGTAGATTGCCCCATCTTCCTTCCAAGGAGTGGCTGGTGAGTTTGAACCACCAGCTTTCTGCTTAGCAGTCAAGTGCCTTAGGCACTACACTACCAGAACTCCTAATTGAGAGATTAGTGCTGGGTAACTGAGAGAATTATAGTATCATTTTAACAACAACAACAATAGAAAGATTTAGGACAAAAAACCCATAGTAGTGGGGTGGAAAGGTCAGTAACATGATACAAGTGATTTTAGACAATCTACTTTTAATCACTTTTTTTTTTTTCCCACAGCAAACACAAGTGCAGAAAGTCTATTAAGAAATTTATTGTTTAACGTGTTACTTTTAAAACGACATTCCATCTCTCATATATGCACACATTTCTTGTTTTTTCAAGAGCAATCAAGTTAACCATTTTGCTTATTAAAAAAAAATAACAGTTGTCGTCAAGGCAACTCTAACCCATGGCGAACCTGGATGTGTCAGAGTAGAACAGTGCTCCATAGGGTTTTCAGTGCGTGATTTTTCAGAAGCAGATTAGCAGGCCTTTTTTCTGAGGTATTTCTGAGCGGAGTCAAACCTCTAACCTTTCAGTTAGCAGCTGAATGCATTAATTATTTGCACCCCCAGGGAGTCCATTCTGCTGATTGTTGTGGTTGCTAGGTGCCATATAGTTGGTTTTGACTAATAGCAACCCAGTGTACAACAGAACAAAACACTGTGAGTTCCACATCATCCTCACAATCCTTGCTATGCTTGAGCCCATCATTGCAACCACTGCATCAATCCATCTTGTTAAGGGTTTTCTCCTTTTTCACTGATCCTCTACTTTACCAAGCTTGATATCCTTCTGCAAGGACTGATCGCTTTTGACAACATGACCAAAGTATGTGAGACAAAGTGTGGCCACTCACTTCTAAGGAGCATTCTGGCCAGTTCTTCCAAGACAGATTTGTTTGTTCTGGCAGTCCATGGTATATTCAATATTCTTCACCAACACCACAATTGAAACCCATCAATTCTTCTGCAGTATTCATTATTTAATGTCCAGCTCTCATATACATGTGAGGTTATTGAATTTACCATGGCTTCGGTCAGGTGTACCTTACTCTTCAAAGTGACATCTTTGCTCTTTAACACTTAAAGAGGTCTTTTGCAGCAGGTTTGCCCACAGTCATTGTTTGAATCTTGACTGCTGCTTCCATGGACATTGATTGCGAATCTAAGTAAAAGGAAATCCTTGACAGCTTCAATATTTTCTTCATTTAGTGAGATGCTGCTTATTTGTCCAGTTGTGAGTAGTTTTATTTTCTTTATGTTGAGGTGTAATCCACACTGAAGGCTGTAGTCTTTGATCTTCATAAGTAAGTGCTTCAAGTCATCTTCACTTTCAGCAAACAAGACTGTGTCATCTGCATATCGCAAGTTGTTAATGTTCAGCTTCTCAAATCATTTGCTCAGCATACAGATTGAATAAATAAGATGAAAAGATATAGCCCTGATACACACTATTCATGATTTTAAATTACACAATATCCCCTTGTACTGTTTGAACAACTGCTTCTTAGTCTATGTACAAGTTCCTCATGAGTACAATACAATGATGTATTCTAGAATGCACATTATTTACAATGTTATGCATAATTTGTTATGAGCCACACATAGTATTTGCATAGTCAATAAAACACAGGTAAACATCTTTCTGGTATTCTCTGCTTTCAGTTAAGATCCAAATGACATCAGCAATGATATCCCCATTCCATATCCTCTTCTGAATCCAGCTTGAATTTCTAGAAGTTCCCTGTCAATGTACTCCTGCAACCATATTTGAATTATTTTCAGCAAAATTTTATTTGCATGTGACATTAATGATACTGTTCAATAATTTCCACATTCTGTTAGATCACCTTTCTTTGGAATGGGCATAAATATGGATCTCTTCCAACTGGTTGGCGCATTAGCTGTCTTTCAAATTTCTTGGCATACACAAGTATAGCATCCATTTGTTGAAACATCACAATGGGTATTCTGTCTATTCCTGGAGCATTGTTTTTCACCAACTCCATCAGTGTAGCATGGACTTCATGCTTCAATATCACCAGTTCTTGATTATCCACTTAGGTCTTTTCTTTCTTTCCTGTCTTTTTAATGACTTTTTGCTTTCTTCATGTATGGTGTTCTTTTTTTTTTTTTTTTAAATTCCAATCATTTATTTATTTTTATCGTAATTTGGGTGAAAATTTAGAGAGCAAATTCACTTTCCATACAACAGTTCACATACTTTGTCTCGTGACACTGACTACAATTTACCCCAATGCAACAGCTCCCCTTCCGCTTCCTCCCAATAGTTAGCTCTTCCGTGTGTCCATTCCTCCATCCACTCCTGCCCCTTGAGCTGTCTCCCTGTACATAAACAGCCCTTCTTTCCCCCATGATTTTTCTCTCCAAGGAGTGTATCTACCTCAGGTAAATGTTCAACTCATATACCTGTCTTTTGTTTGGCTGGAAGCCACAGGTGTGGGTTCAATTCCAGACCTGAAGGCAGCTAGGGGCCATAGTCTCAATGGCTCCACCAGGCTCTCTCAGACCAGCAAATCTGTGCCCCACTTTTTTTTTTCCCCAAATGATTTTGAGTTTCATTTGACATTGTACTCCCTTTCTATCCAGGATCTCCTACATAGATCCCCCTCCCAGTGGTTTACAGTGGTAGCTGGGCACCATCTAGTTCTTCTGGTCTCGGAGTTGTATAGGCTATGAATCGCATGGTGTACCAATCACTAGGACTAATTCTTTCTATGAATCTTTGGCTTTCTTCATTCTTCTTTGCTCTGGACAAAGAGAGACCGATCATTGCATCTAGATGGCTGCTTGCAAGCTTTTAAGATCCCAGTTGCTACTCACCAAAGTAGGAGGTGGAACAATGTTTTGTGTAGTATGTTATGCCAATTGAGCTTGATGTCCCCTATGACTATGGTCCCAGGCCCACCAGCTCAACTACTTGGTCACTCTGGGTAGCTGGCTGTGACCAAGAAGTGACTACAACCTTGTTCCTTGTCAGCTCTACTATACACTTGGGAATTCTTACATATCATACAAATACACTTATAGGACCATTGTCTGCCAACCCTATACATGGTCATGGGTACACTCTCCACTTCATAGACATACCTAATAGTTCAGCCTGTCCACCCATCCATCCACCCATATACCCATGTTTGCCTTCACTGACAACGCAGTACTGTATGTGCAAAAGGGTTCCTCTTTGTTGTCTGTACCTCTCATGTACCTCTCTGTCTTCCTCTTCCTCAATGCCACCATGTTGATCACTCACACTTGGTACGCTGCCCTTCTCTTCACCCAAATCAATACGTATCTCTACCTATCTAACAGTGTTTTCTACCCTACCTTCCCACCCCTAGTAATCAACAAAAAAAATTTCCTTCCACAGATAAACCTTTCCTTGACTTTTATAATAATGGACTAATACAATATTTGTTCTTCTGTGATTGACTTATTTCACTCAGCATAATGTCCTCCAAGTTCATCCACATTATATGGTGTTTGCAGATTCTACATTATTCTTTATGGTTGCATAGTATTCCATTGTGCGTATGTACCATAGTTTGGTTATGCATTCTTCAATTGATGGACACCTAGGTTGTTTCTATCTTTTGGCTATTGTAAATAGTGCTGTGATGAACATGGGGGTGCATATGTCTGTTCTTGTCATGGCTCTCACTTCTTTAGGATATATGCCTAGTAATGGAATGTCTGGGTCAAATGATATTTCTAATTCCAACTTTTTAAGGAATCGCCTTTCATATACAGTGTTCTTGATGTCATCCCACAACTCACCTGGTTTTTGGTTACTGGTGGTCAATATAGCAAATCTATTTTTCTGATGGTCTTTAAATTTGGGTGGGTATACTCAAGGTCATATTTTCACTCTTGTAGACTTGCTTTAATTTTCTTCAGCTTCAACTTAAACTTATATATCAGCAATTGATGGTCTGTTCCACGGTCAGCTCCTGTCTTTTTCTGATGGATGATATTGAGCTTCTCCATCATCTCTTTCTACGGATGTACTCAATTTAATTCCTGTGTATTCCATCTGGCAAAGTCCACATGTATGGTTGCTATTTATGTCATTGAAAAGTTCTATGATGTGATTTCTGGCATCATTTCTATCACCAAGGCCATATTTTTCAACTACCAATGCATCTTCATTTCCAACTACCAATGCATCTTCACTTCCAACTTTCCCATTTCATTCACCAGTAATTATCAATACATCTTGATTGCATGCTTGGTCAATTTCAGACTGCAGAACTTGGTAAAAAAAAAAAAAATCTTCAATTTCTTCATCTTTGGCTTTAGTGATGGGTGCATAAATTTGAGTAACAGTTAAATATTAA